CCCACCCCAGGCGGGGGCTGGCACAAGCAAAGAGTTGGGAGCCTCACTGTTGTCCCTGTTCTGGGCCTCCTCCTCTACCTTCTCTTCCCTTAGGTCCTCTGCACAAAATTAAATAGGTTAAAAATAATGCTTTTCAGGAACTCAGGCTTCAGCGACTGTTCCCCATGGTTAGAAAATAGGCACAACTCTAGCCCAGGCCCACCCTGGAAAGCAAAGTAAAACACAGTATCCATTGGCACCTTCTCCTGGGTCTACTGGGCAAAGGCTTGGAAGGGGACCACCCTCCAGTGAAGGCAATATTAGCACTTTTTCATGGGCAGCTATGGTCCATGACATGCGGGGGGCAGGGCAGGTGCCATGCCCGTTCTTTACTGGCCTTTCACTGGCGAGCCCTGCGGCAAAGTGCACCATGCAAGCTGGAGTTAACCAGGGCCTTTTGTGGGCAGTTCCTTGGCCCCTCCATGTCTCTGCCTTTTAAACTGAGATCGAAATTCCTACCTCAACAGTTATCATGCATAGCACATGCTAACCCATTTATAAGCGACAGTTTCTCTAGGGCAGAAATTATTCCAGAACATTCTGACATCTGGAACATTAATGCTACAAGGATTTAATTATCTGGAGAAGAAAGCAAGGTAATTGGGCAGCGCCTGTGGCTCAGTGGGTAGGGTGCCGGCCCCATATACCCAGGGTGGCGGGTTCAAACTCGGCCCCAGCCAAAGTGCAACAAAAAAATAGCTGGGCGTTGTGGTGGGCGCCAGTAGTCCCAGCTACTCGGGAGGCTGAGGCAAGAGAATCACCTAAGCCCAGGAGTTGGAGGTTGCTGTGAGCTGTGATGCTACAGCACTCTACCAAGGGTGATAAAGCAAGACTCTGTCCCCCCCCTCCAAAAAGGCAAGGTGATTGGAATCACAGGTTCAAGAGTTGAGTTCAAGTACATCCTTCACTTTAGAAACTCAAGTTAATACAGTGTGAGAACCATTTATTGAGCAACTACTACCTCCCTGGCACATTGAGGAAAGCAAAGCAGCCCACTCCTCACAGTCTTCCTGGTGATTCTAGGTAGAGTAAGCAGATGAGGTGATGACATTTTGCGCCTCTTAGCATGTATAACAGAGTGGCTACCAGCTGGGTTATTCCAGTGATAGATCTCTAGGCCTCAGTTTCCCCAGATGTAAACCTCTCCTCGAGGAGAGTCAGTGGAAATGAAAGAAAACAAAAGGAAAGCTCTTAGAAAGTATGAACCAACAGTTGTTATTTTTATTTACTGCAAAACTAACAAAGGATCTCATCTCTATCAATACTTATAACAGATAACTAGGATCTACCGAGAACTCAAACAAGGAAAGAACAAACAACCCCATTTGTAAGTGGGAAAGAGACTTGAACAGAAACTTCCCTGAAGACAGATGAATGGCCAACAAGCACAAGAAAAAATGCTCATCATCCCTAATCATCAGAGAAATGCAAATCAAAACCATTCTGTGATATTACCTAACCCCAGTGAGAATAGCCCACATCACAAAATCCTGAAGCTGCAGATGCTGGCGAGGATGTGGAGGAAAGGTAATACTTTTGAATTGCTGGTGGCATTGGGAACTAATACAACCTTTATAGAAAGAAGTATGAAGAATTCTCAAAGAATTAAAAGTAGACCTGGGCTTGGTGCCTATGGCTCAAGTGGATAAGGCGCCAGCCACATACACCTAAGGTGGCGGGTTCAAATTCAGCCCAGGCCCTGAAACAACAATGATGGCTGCAACCAAAAAAAAATATATATATATAGCCAGACACTGTGGCGGGCGCCTGTGGTCCCAGCTACTTGGGAGGC